AGTTAGGGATTTGGAAGTTCACTGATTTGGAAATTTGCGGATTTGGGGATTTGGTGATTTGGGAATTTTGGAATTGCGGAATTTGGGAATTGGGGGGTTTGGAAATTGGGGGATTTAGAAATTGGGAGCTCCGAATTCGGGGATTTATGGAGTTGGAAATTTGGGAATTTGGGGAGTTCCGAATTTGGGGATTTATAGAATTGGAAATTTGGGAATTTGGGAGCGCCGAATTCGGGGATTTATGGAATTGGAAATTTCAGAATTTGGGGAGCCCCGAATTCGGGAATTTATGGAGTTGGAAATTTGGGAATTTGGGGAACCCCGAATTCGGGGATTTATGGAATTAGAAATTTGGGAATTTGGGGAGCCCCGAATTCGGGAATTTATGGAGTTGGAAATTTGGGAATTTGGGCGCCCCGAATTCGGGGATTTATGGAGTTGGAAATTTGGGAATTTGGGGAGCCCCGATTTCGGTCATTTAGGGAGTTAGAAATTTTGGAATTTGGGAGTCCCGAATTCGGGGATTTATGGAATTTGGAAGTTTGGAAATTTGAGAGCCCCTCAAATCAAGCCCCGAATTTGAATTCGGAGATTTATGGAGTTGGAAATTTGAGAATTTAAAGATCCTAAATTTAAGAATCTATAAACTTAAAATCTTGCCTACTAAAAATCCCCAACTTGTAATACGAGTTACCCATCCTACATTCCTATGGGTTGGGTCGATCCATATTTTGGGGGTGCCCCACCCCGATTTCTATCCAGTTACGCCAATGATCGCAATTACAATGACGAGGTTAATCGAGATGACCGTCTAAATATCACGGTGGGAACGTTCTGATGGCTTCTCTGATTGATTGTCTATAATTGGTATCATTACACTAAAGAGAAAGCATTATTAAATACTACGAACACTAAGTATCCTATAAAACGTAGTACATATTAAAAATATCCGAACGCGTTTGTTTGATGTCTCCTGACTTTTTTTAGACTCGTAGGCTGCCAGAATGACGTAGCAAGTTCTTTGTTAAATTTACATGACTGTTCAGAAGACTGAGGTGAAGCGTTTAAAACATCAGCTAAGTTTTGTTCACATTTTGCATGAAATTTGCAAGGTCTACTTCCTTTCCTTAACCTCTAGCTATCATCCCGTCGCAATTAGGATGTCTAGGTCGTAGCGAAACAAGAGGCTTTCTCCCAATGGCAGACTTTTACTTTTGCCATCGGCATATTGAACATCGGCTATCTGCAACGATCGTGCATCGCAGTATGTAATTCTGATGTACTCGAATTCGTGACTGCGCATTGAACTTAGCGTGACGCGTTTCTATGAACGATCAGAAACGCTGTTATTTCGGTGTCGACGGGTGAAATTTATCGAAGCCCTTTCGCGAAACTCCCTTATCACGGTGCATTAGCATACGTGAAAGTTTTCTAGCGACACCGGTTACTGGAACACGCTTATTTTTCTAGCCACAGTTCAGTTGCGATCGCGCTCGCCTGCGTACGTTCTCTGTCGAATTTTGTGCGCGAACCTTCGAAATTCTATCGATTATCACGAGTGAATTCGTAATTAAATCGTATGTAGATTAACTGTGATTCGAATTAGGTTACAGTACGGTTTCGACGCTTTTACAGTGAAATTTTGATGTAATTGCATTCACGTAGTTAGTTACATCACTCAGAATTTGATAGTAGTCGAATTATAACGTGATGATCAGGTTATTGGGGAATTATAATACCCTAATTTAATGGAAGTGCAATTTTAATACGCAAAAGTTGGGTATATATGCATTGCAATAGTCGAAAAAATTCGTATTCAAATTCCGGCGCGTCAAAGTCGGATGCGCAGAACCACTGCGCAGCGAGGTGCGGTGCGCAGACAGTGCGCGGAATTTAAATTCATAAAAGTTACAACTCTTTCAACATCTAGATTGGAACACATCGAATACATAATTATAATGAATTCTAATACAGATACGTAAGCTTCATATTCTATACTTGTAAACTTCAAATTACTGCGCGCGAAATTCAAATGCACCAAAACTTCTATATTGTGTTGAAGACTTGTAGAATTATGAAACTTTGAATTCGGTCGATATAATTTCTAGTCCATACTGTATAACTAATCTAGTCATATAATTAACTAAAATAATAATAATGCCAGTTATTATTTTAGTGAAAAGAGTTCTGGTATTTCCAAAGTAGAATTTTTAAAACGTTTCCGTGTAGGTGCAAATTGACCTCTATTCAGAAACGGTAGAACGCCGGTAGGAAGGCCGATACACGCGTTGAAATCTCCAAGCCGGTGGGAGGTGTACTGCTCCACCTTTCATTTGACTTTGACAGTTCCATTATGGTATCGAAGCTAACGGCAAACAGTACCGTACTTGACGCTAGTGAATCAACGTGTGCGCCGATATGTCGAGGTATATTCCTCGCTGTTTCCTTACCATGGATATCATCTCTATAAACGTCATTGAACTGTCAACGTTCGACAACTTTATGTTTCCTCGCGGATTTCTCTTTGATTCTCGTCGCTTGCTTTTAAGATACGGTGCAGTGTGCAGTGACAATTCTCAGCTTTAATACGTTTCGCTTAAAATCTTAAGGAACCAATGTGAAGTGTAAAAATTCTGGATTTGCAGTGTCTAGCGTAAAGAATTCTAACAAATTTTTCCACAGCCACTTTTTCATCCCTGAATTTTTAGTAATTAAATTAAATTCGCAAGAACCGGTTAGGATTTATGGGCAAAGGAATCCCCGAGAGCATTTGGACAATGCTTTTAGCGTAACATCGGTTGCACGCGAATCTGCAATCAGCCTAATGGCGAATGATTAATCGGACGAATTCCGACAAAAGGACGGGTTGAAGAACTCTGTCCTATGTCGCTCGGTTCGACCGGAAGGGAGATATTCAACGATCCTTAACAACTCGTTAAAGGTTTCGTCTAAATCGCGGTTTTCGAGATGCAACCTAATTCTTTTTCACCGACGAAATCGCGCAACCGTTTACTCGGTTGCCTTCGACGGTCAGCGCTCTTTAATGAGGACGCTTAATTATTTCGTAACGATTTCTGGTTCATGCCGCTCTCTTATGATATTTTTACTGGAACTCTTAATATTCCGAACGGGAATATGGAGATTTGGAGAATGGGGATTTGGAGATGTGATGATTTAGGTCATTTAAGAATATGGTGATGCAGGAGTATAGGGGTTGATGAGGACGGGTCCTTTTGTGATTCAGACATTATAGATAATAGTATTTAACTGTTCTAAGTTGTAGAAATTGTAATATAGTTATTTTGTCATCTGGAGATTCTGGAAGAGAAATTTTAGGACATCAAAATTTTAAGATGTGAAGACTTGTGAGATGTTATAAGACTTTATGATATTTAAGATATTTTAGGCTCTAAAGACTTTATGATATTTAAAAAGATATTGAGATAATATTTAAGGTATTTTAGATTTCAAAGACTTTATAATATTTAATAAAATATTAAGATGATATCTGAGGTATTTTAGGCTCCAAAGACTTTCTAATATTTAAAAAAATATTAAGATATCTGAGATATTTTAAGCTTCAAAGAATGTATGATATTTGAGAAGATATTGAGATAATATTTAAGATATTTTAGACTTCAAAGACTTATAATATTTAATAAAATATGAAGATGATATTTAAGATACTTTAGGCTCCAAAGACTTTATGATATTTAATAAAATATTAAAATAATATTTAAGATTTTTAAGCTTCAAAGAATTTATGATATTTAAGAAGATGTTAAGATGATATTTAAAATATAGTCTCCAAAGAATTTATAACATTTAAGAATTCGTTGATTCTAGTAACATATTTTTTCCTCATTAGATAGTCCTGAAAATATACATATTTTTTTCCTTATTTGTATAACATAATGAGACCTCTATCATTACAAAAATAATATATCTTCTAAATGAACATATATCGAACTTCCCCCCGATAATTGATATCCGATAATGACTTTTTAAAACACTTCGCCTTCTTAACTTTCCCGCAAGGTTCGTTATCTTCGTTAACGGATGCGCAAGTTTCTTCCAGCGGAAGACACTTCGCTAAACGAGAAGTGAATTTAGATAACACTTAAATGAAAGATAAGGGGAAATTGCAAGAATTAATTTAAACCAATACGTTTCTGAGTTTCTCCACAATTTCCCGTTTATGGAAAATAGAATTTTATCGCGTGTTTTTTAGTACTATCGAAAGAGTGAGAATCGTTCGCATGTAATTAGTCGATCGTGTAACTAGAACGTGTCAGTGGATACCGTTTGTTCTTGTTCGGTATATCGAGGCCTCACGTACGAAAAAAGGTGTTGAATAACGATGAGTGACGATACTAAAAATTTCTGAAGGATTTCATTCTGGTTTCTGCAAAAAAAAATGTTGGAAATTGTGTACAAGGAAATTTCGCAACGAAGAGTTAATTAAGAGGTTTCTAACCGGAAGAGTAACAGTATCTTGTCGAATCTTGCTCGAAATGATTCAAAGACAATCGGAATTTCATTTCCGATGATGTCGCACGTGTACGAGCTTCCTCCTCTGCATATTAATCGCGCGTCATTAGAAAGTCGTGATTGTCAATTAACCGGAAAGGAACGAGTGAAAACGTCATGATAACTTGTCCATATCAAACAGATCGGGGTTGAAAAATCCGAGCAATAAATCAGAGGTTGCTTATTTATCGGTGTAGGAATTAGAAATCTATAGGACTTACAGAAATTACATATAGGACTTATATATAACTTGTAGAGATTTATAGGACTTATATAAATTTATAGAACAATGCAAATTTTGACAATGAAAATTTTAGCAGCGCAAATTTAATTTTCACCTCTCTCGTCTTCACACGCCATTTTAACGCCTGTAATATAATTTATTTCATTCCTAAAAAAATCGCTGGACATTTCGTTTCCCCCTCCTAAAAATAGCAAACCCCATACCTCTAAAACCGAAACCTTCTCAGGTCTATTGGGTACCGCAATGTATCTTGGATAAGTAAGACGCTTCCGACATCGGCTGATAAACCAAAGAGCACTGTGATAGCAAACTAAAGATGAACCACGAAATTGTGAGTGAAAACAGTGAAACTACCGCATCGGTTCGACGTTGATCAGTGAAAACGATCATGTTCACGATGATCGAGCCGAGAAACGACAGGGTGTCCAACACCCAGACAAAACACCATTGTTACCAGGTGATAAGAACCACCAGGGTGCACCAGAGTTCAAGGAGCTCGAGGATGGTTACCGTTCAGGAGAAGGTCATCAGATCGCGGCTGCAGTTGGGATATTCGACTCCTACCAACTTCATTAATCGGTATTTATTATTATTTTGTTACAAGGGAAATTCGGAAACTTACTACATTTTTAATATTATGGATATATCTTGTTAGATACTGTAGATATATTGTTAGATGTATAGATATGTAATAGGAGCTTGTTAAATAATACTGTAGGTATATCTTGTTAAATAATACTGCAGATATATCTTGTTAAATAATACTGCAGATATATCTTGTTAAATAATACTACAGGGTCTCACAACTAGTGTAAGTCTCTATAATGGTAGCTGACGTGATTCTGAACAACTTTTCCCTTTGCAAAAATTGGATTCGAAGCTCCGTTTTTGAATTATTAAGGAAAAACCAATCAGAGCGATTACGCATGCGCAGACGAACCAATCAGAGCGACTACGCATGCGCAGACGCGAGAGCTTCGAACCTAGCGTCTGCGCATGTGCAGTTCTTGCGCTCCGAATGGTCCGCGTTTTTCCTTAATAATTCGAAAACGAAGCTTCATATCGCATTTTTGTAAAGGGAAATTTTGTTCAGAATCACGTCAACTACCATTAGAGAGGCCTACACTAGTTGTGAGACACCCTGTTACATACTGTGGGTCTTGTTAAATAGTACAATAGATATATCTTGTTAAATAATGCTACATATATACGTTATCATGTCAGGTAGATTTTGAAGTGTAAGTCTGACGTGATTTCATGACATAAAAGTATTACGAAATAACATGTAAAGCTTGAAACACTATTGAGACACTGTAAAATAACTATTGAAACATTTCGTTAACGTTGTTAATATAAAATAGACAAATACCGTAGTCAAGTACCACACTTGAACCCTCTCAAGTTGACTAAGGTCTCTCTTCCTGAAAGTATCTTAAAATAGCAGTCCTGAAGTACAAAAATAGTCCTAAAAATAGTACCTCAGCATACCCACAGTTTAAATTTCGATAAAACTGCCTCTGTAAACATTTCATTGCGGCATCGTCGAGAAAAAAAAAGAAAAGAATACTTTTCATTGGCAAACGAACCGCCCGATTTAACGTTTTGATATTTGGGTCGTTCTTTCATTTCTACCAGTCACAATGATCCTCCCCGGTGGAAAAGATAAAATTTCACGGAGTTTCGAGAGAAGATTTACACCGACAGCCGCGTGGGAATCGCGATCCGACTGCTCGAAAGATACTCTGCTCCCTTTTATGCATCTAATTAACGCGAATAACTTACACTCTAGCCGTTCTACGAGGGTTATACGGATTAAAAATTTCCATAAAATAGCCGGAAACCGTTTGCGCAACGCGAGCGGCATGCAGTGAGAGCTCGAAACACTGGCCATCATCCGGAAGCGAGCTACGAATTAGGACACGTTACAAGGCATGAAAGGTAATCACGAATTCGACGGTTCGTGTGTACGTTTTTATCTGTCGGTTTAACGCGAGATTCGGACTATTAGAATATTCATTTACCTGTTACTTGTCACGATCTAATAAGCTGCGCTCGAGATTCAGCAAATATTTGTTTTGATTTGAGTGCATTTATATTAGAATAATCTTTTCTATTCTTTAAACGTTTATCAGTGACCCAATCTCTAGTTTCTGGTTAAAAATAGTTTTAACTCTATTCATCACTTTTCGACACTTCTGCAATTAAATTTTGATGTACTGATTTAAATAATGTAACTAGAGGTTACAGAATTTGATAATAATCGAATTATAACGTGATAATCAGGTTACTGTGGAATTACTATACTCAGAATTTAATGAAAGCTAAATTTTAATAAGCAAGAGTTGAGTATACACAAATTATAGCACTCTGGAAACAGATTCGTATTCAAATTCCGGCGCGTCAAAGTAGGATGCGCAGAACCAGTGCACAGCGAGGTGCGGTGCGCAGACAGTGCGCGAAGTTTGAAGTCCTATCATTATCACCTTTGCAACATTTTAATAAAACATTCCTACAGTAATTTTTATTGAATCAAGCTTGCTATACGTTATTTTATAACACTTTTATGTCATGAAATAATGCCACGTTTTATATTACGAAATATTTCTATCAGTGCACTTAATCTTGCAAATCCTCTGTACTTATTATTTATACATTTGTATATGTTTTCATACATTTTCTATGATAATCCGTAAGTAGTTTTCGAGCACAAACGCGCTTGTTTATTCACACATCGATGTCGAAGGAAGGAACGGTGGTTCGTTGGCTTCTATCGGGCGGAAGAAGCCGCGCACGGTGTCTCGAATTCATTAAAGGAATTATTAAGGCGTGATGCATTACCGTGCGAGGCCGCTTCTCCGTCTCGACTAATTATCATCGACCAATTAACAACCGTTGATTGCCGTTAACGGCGCGTATGTGCTTCGCAGATTCGAAGCTCCGTGAAATAATTTCCTCCTGCAACGCCGACTATTGCTGTTATTCTTCCAACGACACCGAAAACTCTGCTACAAAACTCCTCAATAGGACAATTTTGACTTCACTAATTTTACAAGTGTTAATGTTAATACATCTAACATTATCTATAAATAATTAAGAATCAACTTCGATTTAATAAAAGATATTTCCTGACTTTACAATTGCAAAAGTACACGAGGAAAAAGATAACACATGTGGTCACGTTCAATGAAAACTTCACATGTACATACCACACATACAACCTTGAAGTCAACAGACACAATCGATAATTAATTGCAAACCAGTCGAAGGCCAATTTATAAAATTGTTCAAAGAAACAATACGAAAAAATCTCTCAGTCAAAAAAAGTAAAACCACTCTAAATAAAGATCAATGCGTATCTAAATAAAAATCAAGTTCAAAATAAATCCAACAACTGTCCATTAATAACAGCTTGAAGCAAGGTGTTCGCAAGCGAGAAAACTGGCTAGAAGCATGAAAGTAGGAAGGAAAAAAAAGTAGGAAACACAGTAGAGGCTTCTATGGCGCGTGTCCAAGTGGCAGCTGATGCTCTTCACCTGAAGCCTACGCGTCTGAGGGTTTTGTCTTGGTAGAAACGCACGAGTGGCCCCTGCTAGACTATCTCTTTCAACCCTCTTTCCTATCTTCATTGTCCTTCCCTCGTCGTGGACGTCCAAGTCAAACGGCGCTCTAAGACAATGGAAGTCTACGAGGATTTATCGAGGGCGCGAACTGCGAACTCGATGAAAGAGCATTTGTTTCCAGCAACTCTGGAGACGCGTCAGGTGGAGTTTTCATCTCGACAGTTCGCGTATCTTTTGCGTTTCTAGATTTGTGTAGAGTGGGAGGAAATATTTGGGGGGGTTTTAAGAATTTTGCAATTTGGAAGTTTGGAGATTTGGGGGTTTGAGGATTTGAGGGTTTGAGGGTTTGAGGATTTAGAGTTTTAGGACGCTAGGCAATTGGGGATGGAGGATTTGGGGATTTAGGAATTTGGAGACCTGAGAATTTGGCAAATTAGGGATTTGGGGACGTAGGAATTTGGAAATTTAGCTATTTGGGGGCGTGCAAATTTGGGGACGTAGGAATTTGGAAAATTAGCTATTTAGGGCGTTGCAAATTTCAAAGTGTAAGAATTTAGAGAACTGAGAATTTGGGAAATTAGGGATTTGGGGACTTAGGAATTTGGAAATTTAGCTATTTGGGGGCGTGCAAATTTGGGAACGTAGGAATTTGAAAAGTTAGCTATTTGGAGGCTTCTAAATTTCAAAGCTTAATTTAGGGACCTTCATCCAAATTTGCTAAATTGCAATGCGAATAATTCCACAGCACTAAATCAGCGATTCGCTCCATTCGGAGTTAATCAACGTCGACTGCCGCCACGTGGAACATGCATAATGAAATCGATATCCCGGCAATAAGCTGCAAGAGTAAGCATGATCGAGCGGCCCTCTGTCAGCGAGCACGTGAAATACCGTCGAACAATATCTTGGCTGAAGGTGGTATCCACGAGATACGGGAAATTCAAGGTGCACAAAGGGAGCACTCCAGCCTGTTCGAAATACGAACGCGTTAGAGGGCGGTCGATGATCCGCAGGAAGAGAAATAAATTGGAGGCAGGACGGCATTAAAGCCTCCCAAGAGGCGAAACATCTGCCTGTCGGCTGTTACGAGCTCGTGCCATGGTGCACGCGTGCTGTTGCCACATACACACTGTTAGAGTGTATGAAACTGCACCTGGCTTTGGCTTTTTATTTTAAACGTGGACGGACACTTATACTCTTTCAATTCTTACGAAGCTCTTTTACCAATTAACTTCTTGAGTAACTCAGTAATTCAGTAACTAAGTAATTCGACAACAGATCGCTTCATCTCTCCGCCATTTTGTATGAACAAAATTTACTGATCTTCTTCGTGTAAATCGATCACATTATTTTAACGGTGTTCAAGTACTTTTATCGCAAATGAAAGGCATAGGTAGCGATGAACCTTCTTGATTCATTGTTTTTGTACATCGATTCAGCCGATGAACTTTGGGAAAATACTTTCGAAGCTCTTTTACCAATTAACTTCCTAAATAAATCAGTAATTCAGTAACTAAGTAATTCGACAACAGATCGCTTCATCTCTCCGCCATTTTGTATGAACAAAATTTACTGATTTTCTTCGTGTAAATCAATCACATTATTTTAACGGGTTTCAAGTACTTTTATCGCAAATGAAAGGCATAGGTAGCGATGAACTTTCTTGATTCATTGTTTTTGTACATCGATGAACAGTTTCTCATTGAAATACAAAGACGCGGCTTTCTCAGGATTCGTGCACTTGGCAGGCGTGCGTTTTAAATACAATTCCGTTGCGGGAAACTTTTCCTGCAATTACGTTTCGTTTAAGACGATCGCGGGTGGAACGGCTGAAAAGAAAAATGTGATTCCGTCCGACGGGAAGAATAGTGTGAAAGTGACGCGGGAAGTATTTTTCTTTCTAAATAAATCTACGTTTCGGGTAAATTTAGTTGGTTGTGAAATTGAAAAATGTTAGAATGCTATGGGAGAGATTTTTGGGAATTTAGGGATGTGGAGGATTGAATGTGGAGGAGTTTG